CCCCCGCCCCCCCCCCCCCCCCGCCCCCCCGCCCCCCCCCCCCCCCCCCCGCCCCCCCCCCCCCCCCCCCGGCATAGACTAGGGGAAAGACAATGTGAATGGGGGACATGACATACGCGTTCCAACAAGTCGAGCGATATGCCCATAACTCGTCACCTTGCCATGCGGAATCTCCTGCACGGCGCTGTACACGGCGTAGAAGAAGGCCGATGCTTCGTCTGATCGCGGCATTTTTTTTGAACACTCGCAGATTCGCAGGTGCTGTGTGGTAAGTTGAGGGCTCGTGTTTGCAAAGGTGCAGTGACAAACACTGCGAAAAAGGCCAAAGATCACCTGGAGCGCTAGCGCGATGACGCTGAACTACCACAGTACAAACAGGTACCGCAACACGATCAAAAGTCGGAACGAAGCTCGACCGATCCCTTTATAAAGTCAAATTCTAGTAATGGTATGTATGTATATGCGTCTGCGGGTCGAAATATGCACAACAAAAAGAGAAACGGCAGGTTTGACACAAAAAAAAAGCCGAAAATAGAATCCAGTTACTCGTGCCTTTAAATGGATGCACCCGGGATCGAACCGGGGACCTTTCACAAGCGCATCTCTCACTTCAGATATTTTTTTAATGCGAAGCGAAAATCATACCACTAGACCATGCACCCTTGCTTGTTGGTGAATCAATGCTTTAAAACCCATTCATTAAGGACACTTGACCTTCTGTCCAAGCCTGTCTAATAAGAGAGTGCGAATGTCATCAGTAGGCGGCCATCTGAGGAGAGTTTCAGAAGTTTAACTGTCAAAATCAGCTTGCAGGAGTTTTATTTAGCGATTATGGGGTGTTGACTAACTCACGGCGTCTGCCTGACTGACAAGTCGTCCATTGTTATACTCCAACCCTTCGCCACGCCGCTCGAGTCATTCTTTTGCCATCCAGAAGCCCAGAGTGGTGCGGCTAAGGTTACGCTTACCACGAATCTCTGGTCGAGCTCGTAAGATTAGCCACAGCCGATTGTCCTGTCTGGCCACTAGCCAATTCTGCGATTCCACATTCGTCTGTTCAGCGTTGTCACGATTCTTCGGTACGGTCAAAACTTACCTGATATATTAGAAGGAAGAGAGTACATGTTTGAACCCTGCAGTTTCTAGATGCTCGACACATTTCAGTACGATGTGAGCTGAATGGCATATGTCCGGGCATGACAGCCTCAAGTCCCTGTACCTGTATCCGTCTACTAAAGGTACAGGCAATACTGACTCAGTCTTCGGCAGACGGTTCGTACTTTCTTCAGAACGGTGTTAAGCATCGCCGAGTGAACAAAGACATCTGAGGTAATTATTCATGATATGTAAAGCTCAGCCGTGGTCCTAGTAGCACCCTCGCTACATGTGAGTTAGAACACTGGATCGTTTTGGTTGCAAGAGTCTGTAGTCAACATTGAATCAAGAGGAGATCGCGCTTCCGCTTCTATCAGAGCAATTCTAGTTCAGGGGTATCCTAATATCTCTTGAGTCTTTGTCAGTCTCAACGCCGGACATCAGACCCAGTGGCCAGTACTGAGACATTCACTAACATAAGGTAGTCTGTCCTATCTCACTCTTCTTACTATTATCACTCGATTCATTGAAAGGCCAACTTTGCATGGCAGGTTATTGTTCATGTTAATCAAGATTTACTTCCACATCCTCCACGCTTAAAAGGCTAGAGCATCGTACCCAACTACCCACTAAGCCGGGGAGTTCAACATGAAGCAAGCGAACCCACTACGAAATGACCAACGTCTTCTCTCAGAGCAATGAATGTTTTAAGGCGGTTAGAATCACGAACAGTTAAGTCTTTATTAGCCTAACTCTCTTAATATACGTATCAGAGTCAGTGCCCCAGACGTTCACGTCAGTTAGATAATAGTCAGTCCCATGTTCCATCAGGCTCTTTCTTCTCTTTACTCGATTTTCATCACTCAGTCCCTTTCCGGGAAGCATTGAACAGGTGCTTGCATTGTGTTCAACAATATACAACTGTTCACAACAGAGAGTTAACTTCTGCAGCCAGCGACATGATCCTATAGCACATGGAGAGCCCTAATCACACTAGACTTTGAGTAAAGTGGTGTGGTCTACATGCCTAATCAATTATCCCGTAAACTTGGAATCTACATTTCCCCCCTCGTTATACCAAGTGGCAAGCTAATGTATCTCAACACGTGAAAACCTGTTCTGCTAACATAACTTCACCATTATCGCCCTTGTCCTTATAACTGGCGAGATCAGGAAGCGCTCCAAGCTGTCTACATACTACAGGCAACTTGTGCAAAAGGCTTTCCCGCATTTTTGATAGCCGATTACGGCGCCATGTTTCTCAACTCGGTATTACTAACTCGGTACTAATTGTAGGATCAAATGAAAGCTCTGAGGCTCTCCAACTACCGAGTCACAGCTTTGCCTTGTCCCTTCTCCCACAAACCGTTATCCATCACATTCACGGTCTCACCTCATCACTGTAACCCTATATACTACAACTATATCAGGGATTACACACTACTACTACGGCAGTACCAGGTTAAATCACGCCACAAATACAACAGACAGCCTCACACATCAGGGGCCTCAGGCAGTCGACGACGTCATTGATTCTATCTCAAGTCAAGTCACACCGACGCATTGACTTTGCTGCTCCTGTTACTGCTTCTGTTGCTACAGCTATTGCCAAGGTCCTAGTAAAGTATTCCAATTATTCCAATTATCCAAGCTCACTTCCCCCGCGTTGCCCACGCACGGCACAGCCCCCATCTGCCCTCTGTACTATTATCACTGTGTTATGCTATGCTACTTACTGGTCAGGGTCAGGGTGGTTCTCCGGGTTGTTACCACGTTGGTCACACATGTTTGGGAGAACAGACCTCTTTTCTTTCTGGAGGGCTAATTAGGTAGGTAGGTATGTATATTGTAGATCTTACACCACCACCAGCTCAGTTATCATAATTATCGTGTGACATTCACTACCTGCCCGGGGGTGTGTCTTTATCTCATATATATATATCCGTGGATATCATATGTGTGTGGTGGGGCTGTATGTACCTGCGTTTCATCAATACGATGGATGATGCCTGCACCGTTAATTAAGCCTCACCTACACCCCCATCATTATGGATGATGCCTGTTATCGTCAGCGGTATTTGCAATTAATTGGTTGCCCTGTCATCACCATCACACCGAGTTGCATACTTATCGGATTTATTAGTGAGGGCAGTCGAAGGTTAGGTAGGTAGTTGTCAACAACAGGTACCAACCCATCCAGACTCTTCGTATACATGACGCGGTTCGAGTCACGGTGGTGTAGTGGATAGCATCGGTCTGTCGGCCCGCATGCGGCCATCTCCCACTGGCACATTGTGCTACTGCTACCACACCCTCCCCTTCTTCTCTACCGTGTTTGTGGTGCAGATAGAGATCTGATTTACAGCAAAGCAACCAACTGCAACACCGATAGTGGTGGGTGTGTTGGTGGGGTGGCTGGGTGGGTTGGTTACACAAGCTCGCTGGACGACACCCCATACACCCATTATCCCGCGCACACGGCACACCAACTTCAACTGCAAGGAACAGCCAGACAGAGGCAAACCTGCGAAAGGTGTTACGATTTAATCAGATCCCCCGGGGGGGGGGGGGGGGGGTATCATAAGCCACACCATGAGCCCCCCCTCCCCCCCACTTAACACTTCTTCCTTCCTGCTCTGCTTATGCTTGCATACATACCTAACATGGACGAGGTTCGGTTCGGTTCGGGAGCGTTTCCCCGCATTGACGGACATTTGACACTGTCGGACTAAAGGGGCCAAGGGAGACTCGGAGTGTGTGACACATGCAATAAGAGGAGGTTTTTGTTTATAAAACGTACGCTACGCCCTGGTTCGCCGCCGCTATAATATTGCTTTGTTGGGGAGGACAAACAAACCAACTACAACAACAACCAGGCACACACACTGGGACTTTCCCAGACGTCGGGCGCACGGACTTGTGTCCAAAGTTCGGTTTTCCGTGTTACCGGGGGGGGGGGGGGCGGCGATGCTCGTATGCATTATCCATGTTGTGAAACGGCCTGAACACCACTCGGCCGCCCATTTCATTTCTGAAAAAAAAAAAAGAAAAAAAGTGGGCGAAGGAAGTTGAGTAGTAGCAAAAAGCGGGGGAAACGGTCCGGACAAAAAAAAGAAACTTGGTTTATTAACCAATATGCAATAAACTAACTATTTTGTCCCGCAGCTTACGGCGGCAGTATTTTTTTTAATGCTTGATGTTGCTTATGGACCCATCAGTAAGGTAGGTTTCTCGGCGCGGGTGGGCTCGCTCGCCTAACTACGTACTAACCTCAGCTACTAACGGCGCTGCCACATTCGGGTGATTCGGGTTGTCGTCCCGGATCCTTGCCGAGCTGAGAGAGAGATCTTGGTGGTTTTTTGCGCGAAGAAGACACAACATTCCGATCCGAAAGCTGAGCGCCGCCGTCCCGTCCCCGCCATGGCAAAACCTAGCCCCGTTCACCTCAATAGTGTCTGTCGTCCATCTTTGCGCTTCCGAACCTCACATCCCGTACCCGGTCGGTTCGAGAAGACGGCTGTCTCTAGCCTGCAATGACAACAAAGATAAACCAATCGCAAGCTGTTGGGTAATGACTCTTTGTCGATTGCATGAATGTCATCGGAGATAATAGAAGAGAAGAAAAAAAAAAAAAAAAATCCCCCAAGGTGTGACTGACTCCACTTTCTCGGAACAAAACATCATGGAGCGCGCCATGGCATATGTCGTCGCTATAGCACACACTATATGCGAAAGGACCTCTCTCTCTCTTAAGCCGCCGGTGATAATGCCCCCATCTGGTAAAAGCCACCGGCGCGTGTTAATTACTGGTGGCTCTGCTCACCGGTCTGTCTCCTTGTGAGACCGCTCACAACAAGGAGTAAATCAGAACGGAGAGATGCAAGGACGCGGCCGGTAATCACTGGAGATGCGAGAAGGAAGCAAGCCACATCGGGGGAACTAATGCAATATGAACTATATCGCACTTCGCGGCTAAGCGCGATGGAGAGAGACGGCGAGTGGCGGGCAAGTTCATGACGGGTGATGAAACCGCTCAATTGTCTGCATGCAATCCGTTCATAGGACCATGAATCTCGGTACGGTACGGGATCTTGACCGGTAGGGCTAGACGAATTCGATTCCACCTTTTCCACCTCCTTCCCAGGGCTCCCTCCTCGGAGCCACGTGTGATACCTGGTGGCGATCGCGATGTCAGCTATCCCGGGCGATGATGATGATGCTGCATTGAACTCAATCGCCCAGGTAAGTGCTCAGATAGTTCGAGCCACAAGTTGAGACCCGGATTCTGGCTCACCCGGCTCGGTGGGAGAGTCGCTGAGACAACGCTCGTCTGATGTTCTCTCCTATCACACGGCCGTTTCGTTTCCCCTGTTGAAGGCGTGACACTGCGCCCCATTGAAGGACCCAAACACACTCAATTGCTCTGTTTTGAGTGTATGCAATTATCCAAACACCTGGCGGCGGTATTGATGGGGGTGTTCAAGTTAGGGGGCTGTGCTCTGGGATAAGCCACTGGCTTCCCTGCCACGATTTTCTTCTTTAAGCAGTCTTTTTATGCTTTAATTCG